TTCTTTTTAATATTTTGTCCCTCTCAACGGTGGTACCAGCAAACCAACCCACTTAATAGATTTGTACATTCAAAATCCACCCACAAAAAATTGGGAGTGTGACAGTGAGGGAGGAAACGCAATTAAATATCAGTCGGAAGAATATGGCCCCATTCTATATAAACGGTCTCGCTCTAACCCCAATCCTGTCGATCGCCAACCTGACGAGTTTGGGACGGGAGCTGGAGAATGCTCGTTTTCGGGTGGAGCACTATGAGCAATCCTCCCGCTCGAAGTGCTCCCTCAAGGAACCTGAGTTTGCTTTCCACGGCAAGGGAAGGGCCAGGGCGTCTGCGGTTAACGCAGTGGACACGGACGAGCCAGAAGTAGCTGCGTCCGGTAACGCGCCCCAGCGTAGGACTCGTGCCCCTTTCACTTGTTGAAGGTGTGATAAGCCTGGCCACGGCTATTGTGAGTGCCAAGTGAAAGGGGATTTCTCGAAATTCTGCTGGGGGTGCGGTATGAAAGGGCAGTGCAGGATAGTTGCCCGGTTTGTAAGGCGCGAAGGAAAGAGCGCGAAGCGAAAAGGGGCGGTCTCGTTCTGCGGATTCTTGGAGAAAGGAGAGGTTCAATCCTAAGGATAATGAGAAGAAATTTGAAAGAAAACACCAGTGGTGGGGCCTGCCCGGGGCAGGGTTGGTCCTAAGAGAGTGAGGAGACAGTATAAGGCCCACAAAGAATAAGCTATTTCGGAGAACGGGTAAAGAAGAAGAGCACGAATAACAAAAGCGCTACTGCGCATGCCCAGCCGCCGCGGCGGGCCGGTATGAGAAATCGCGCGGTCTTTTGCATCGCTCCGACGGCCGGTCGCTGGGAGATAGTCGTCTTGAGCGTAAAGAACATATTTAACGATAGGAAAATAATTTGTTTGAACTTTCATGAGTTTTGAAGCAATTTGAAGAGCAATTTGTGAGGAAATCTTGGAAAATGGTGAGTTGGAGGTGTGGTGTGCGCGAAACATCGCAAACAGACAAGCGCCAAGGTTGTTTACATTCATATTTAGCACTTGTTTTCAACTTATTTCGCTTGTCATGAGATAAATGACATCTGAAAAGAATGTTCTCGCCTAGAATTTTAAGTCATGAGCTTCAATCGTGTCCTCAAACCGTGTCGCCTAACCTCTCTGTGTGTTTTCAGTTCGACTCTGAAGATGAGGATGAGCCCAGGCCACTCCCCATTAATTCACCTGCTGCGAAGTGTGTTCCCACAAGGGGATGTTTTTTAAATGCAGGAAATTCCTGTTTTCTAAGTGCTTCTCTTCAGGTATGTATTTTTATTTCCTCGCTAAAACCTGTATTTCATCTGGTTGAAGTCTTTGCATCCCTTCCCTATCTCTGAGATTACTTGTACATATTCTAGCTACTATTGCATGTCCCAAATATTTCATCGTCACTTGGCCGCTTAACAAAAGGCGCTGTAGCAAGTGCTTTGCAGTCCATTAACGAAGCCCACCAACTAGGCAAGGTGGTTAACCCTGGTCCGGTACTTCAGGTGATGGACAGTAAGTCTTTATCATGGTCCCCTTTATATGTCCTTGTTGTGAAATTCTCTTCAAGCAGAAAACTGGTCTTTTTCCTCGCATTTTAATGTCTCAACACAGCATGAACATGAAAATTATTGCAAGTGCAAAGTATGTGAGAAAGCCTTTATATTTCAGAAATTGCCCCAAAATTTG